TGAGCATCACAATTTCTTTTGGAAAGTAAGCTTCTATGAGTGATGCAAACGGCATCTTTTAAACAGAGCGTGCATGAGGAGCTATGGGATCGTTTATGCTCTTGCACGCGTTTAACAGGCGTTCCCTCTCAGGAGCGAGTACAGGGTTGTGCATGTGCCTTTTTTTTTTTAAGTGGAGCAACCTGTCTTTCAACAGTTAGCAAAAATCCTTCATTATACCTTTAATGTTGCTAATTCTCCGTCTCTCATGATTCCAAAGGTAAAACCTCTCAGCTAAGATGTCGAATATAGCAAATATAGAAACTTACTCACCTGATTTTGAGCATCAAATGTACATTTTTCCTTAAAATACCCATTTCCCATTATGGAAATGAATTCAGAGAGCAAATTCTGAGTAAAAACATATCATCCACGCAAAAAGACTAGATGGAAACTAACTAACTAAAAAAAAACGTTTCTGTTTCCCTCTTCATCACTCAAACATCTTTAGCCTTCCAGATATGAAAAAGCGAATCCTGTGCCTGACGAAAGTTGGACATCTGTTTCTATTTCGGTGGATATAAATGTTTCAGAGTAGACAGAGGGTGATATATGTTACAGAGGCTCCAGTTAAGCTGCTGGGATAAATTTAGGCCCAGCTTGCCTCTGGCTCTGTGAAAGAGAAGGGAGTTTATGATGAGTTTGAATCTGAGAAGAGCTGAATTTACTACAGTAAAGATAACAGGTGGTCGGAGCTGTTTTGTTAGTGTGTGTTTTTACAGAGTGAGTCATTGAGACGGCGAGGCGAAGGTGACACCGATTTTCACTTCAAAGGTGGGCCTGAGCAGAGCGCAGATTAAAGCTCACCGGGAATCAAAGAGCCGCAGGCCGTAGGCAGCACACAGGTGTCTCCTGTAAGCACGTGTGTGTTTGTGTTCCTGCTCTCGCTTCTCCTTGTGTTGTATAATAGAGGCCTCACATCTATTTTTACCCGCCAGCTCTCAAGGGACCTCTCCGGGTTCTGTTTTTTTTTTGGTTTGCTTTTTGCTGTTTTTCTGTCTTCGGTTTTGTCTGCAGAGATCAGGTCCGGCGGTGAGAAGTGCTGCTGAAAGAGATGGAGACAAACGATGAGGTTGACATATTCCTACATCACCGCTGCTACATGTGAGCAAGAAGCAGGATGAACACAACTTGAAAAAAGAGATGAAAACTAGTCAAAGGGAAGAGGTGTGTGCAACTGAGCTATGGAGAGTATGATGTAACGTAATTATTGAGACTGACAGAAACCCCCTCCCCCCCCACCCCAAACTCACTCAGACCAAAGGTGGCGTCTAACACTGACGTCAGCTCAGCTAAACGTCCTCTCACCCGCCTCCTTGATGAAATCCAGAGGACAGGCGAGAAAAAGAAAGCTGTAAACGAAATCTCTGACTGAGCAAACTTAATGTCATAGTTCATGGGCAATAAAACCGACTCCATGTTGGATCGTTTTGTCTGGATTTAGAGACCTAACTAATAAAATGCTGGATGACTGTGCAATCACAGGCTCACACTGGAAAAAAACGAAATCTAAATTAGTCATCTTTTCTTAAAATAAGTGTATTTTATCTTGAATTGAGGAGGTAAAAGACACATTTTCCCAAAGTGTGATTGCATTGTCTTCTTTCAAGTGTATTTTATCTAAATATCTTATTTTAAGAGTAAAAATACTCATTCCATTGGCAAATTATCTCATTTACCTACTCAAATTAAAGGTAAATACATTTAATTTAAGAAAATTTCACTTATTTGTACATCGTTTTTCCAGTGCATATTTGAAGTTGAAGTTATAAATGTGAGCTACACTGCAAGAACTGTTCCAAAAATAGGTAAATAATTCTTAAAATCAGTGTCAATAAAATTATCTTCCAATAAAAGCAGTATGTTTGCCCTTAAAAGAAGATAATTAGATATTATGAAATAAAATAAAGGAATAGTTTTTTTCTTATTTTAAATGGAAATCATCGTATTCTGTAGGCAAATTGTCTGTTTTAACAGGCAGGTAAGTATTAACCAGTGATGCTTGTGAACCTCAACTCATGACCTATTGTTCCAGAAACAAATAGTCAGTCTAAGTAGCCGCTAATCAGTAACATGTTTATGTGTCTGCCAATGATTCAGAGAATAGAGCCAGCCATGGATGACATTTTGCTTTGGTTTCACCTTGAAAGTGAAGTGTGTCGAAGCAGCATGATGGAGAGGGGGGTGGGATGGGGTGGGTAATTGTGTAAATGCACAGACTGAAGTGTTCTCAGCACCACCCCCGATCCAGAGCAGAGTCCTAAGCATGCGGATAGCAGCTAAAGGATCCAGCTCTGTCCCGACGCAGGCCACAGAGCTGAACCTCTCTGTCTCACCTGGGCTCTCCAGACACCCACTCACCACTCCACAGTGAGGGGAAGGAGGAGAGTGTATGAACTCTCTCATTTTCCTCCCTGACTCCTAAAGTAGCATCAGGTGAAGCCGGGATCTCGCCTCTCACTGCTCGGTCGCTTTCATCCGAACCTGACGCAGACACACGCGGCTAAATGCACAAACATGCGATAGAGTAGATTTGGTCCTCCATCCCTGGTTGCCATGGCAACACGGCCAGCAGCCTCCATGCTCTTTTGGCTGTGTCGAGCGTCACAGTGGGGCTATGTGGTATTTGAAGTGCGCTCATGCAAACTGCAGCCTCACAAACCGAAGCAAACATGACCTCAGCTCTGCTGAGCTTCCACTGTGTTCGTTTCAAGCATCCCTTACAGGCGATGGAAGGCCAGGCACAGAGCAGGGGAGAACGAAGGGGGGGAAGCTTGATAGATAGCGCCATCTAAAGGGCAATGCACGCAGGTGCAACTTATATGTTTTTATTTTGGCTTTACAGCCCAGATACTTTCTAAATTTTGTCCCATTGCACAAAAAATATTACATCTATTTATTTCAATTTTATTGAACAAAGACAGAGAATATATATATTTTTAGATGGAAGAAAATGGGAATGTTTTTAAAGTTAAAATGTACTAAATTATTTTTTTTTTTGTTTTTACAGTCCTGCTAAGTCAACAAAAATCCAGAGCAGGCGATTTTACTTAACTGTGTTAGCTAAATCTATGGCAGTCCCGATACTAAACCTATCAGAATGAAAAGGGTTGAGACTAGGTTGAAGCTTTATTAACAAAAAAACAACAACATTAAATACACAACCAAAGCCACGTGAATAAAAATGATCCCTGTGTTGGAACAGGCCAAGTCAAAGACTTTAAAACTGACATTCTCAGACCATAAATATCCTTTCTGGATTAGTTTGAGCAGTTTTATACAAAAGAATGTCAAAAAAAAAAAAAAAAAATCTGGTCTTGAATCTGAGAAGCTTTCAGAGACAAACCCCCAACAGGCAGGCAGCTGTCAGAGGCTATAAAGCAAACGGTTGACACACTTCTCAGTTGTGTGTTATTAAAAAGTAAGAACTACTTTGTGCTGATCTAAAGAAAAAAAAGTGAATACTTGAAACGTTTTGTTCTTTTATGTAACAAGCTGTGAACAAGTGTAATAATTGTTTTTTTTTTTTTCGTTTTTTTTCCACTTTAGCCAAATAATTCCACCTAAATCAGTCAGATAATTTTTTTACCTGCAATATAAAACATAACTTTTATCTATGTATTATTAAACACTAGTAGATTTGCGCACAAAAGCCAAGAAAGCAGATTTCAGCACCATGGTCAGCGACAAGCAAGCAGAGAAGGGATATGGCCACTAGAGGGAGACATTACACTAACTTTATTGTCTCTTAAGCCTTTTCTTGTCTTGTTGACTCCAGCAGCCTCTGGCCTAAAGTCTTGTGTTGCTTATAGACTCGTCTCATTATATGCCAAATATTTTTATTTTCAAATTTTATCATTTTATTATCTAGTATTTACAGATATCCCCCCAGAAGAAGCAAGTTAAAAGATTTTACTCCAAGATATTTCCTATGTATCCATTTGTGAATTGAAAGTTTTTGCTATTAATTTATTTTCTTTAAAGTGAAACCAGTGTGTGAATATCATTAAAAAAACAAACAAACATTTTCTTATGGAAAAATAAATAAGGCTTACTTTAGACAGACAGACAGACAGAGAGACAGACAGACAGATAGATAGATAAACAGATAGATAGATAGATAGATAGACAGACAGACAGACAGACAGACAGACAGA